AAACTCGACCCTGTTTATCGTCAAGCAATAGAAGAAACAGATGCAGCACCAAATTGGGCGGGGCTAAAAACTTGGGCAAAGCAAACAAAAGAATTGAAGAGGGGTTACGGGACTGCTTGCTGCCTACAAATGCACTTCCTCATTCCTTTTCAGCATCACGACCAAAAAAGTCACCAAATCTCATCCCACCGCCTGTCATCACCACACAGCTCAATCACACTACCCTTTCCCTCGCCATCAAACAGGATTCAATCTGCATCATCGGTCTATTCCAATGGAGGCTCGTAACGGAACATTAACTCTGCCTCGAGGAGACTACGATGGTACCTGTACCTACAAAAGAACACGCTTTTTTTATATTTTTTTTTCTTGGTTACCTCGACATTGGCGTGAAGCCCAATCTAATCAGTCAAGTACTCTCTTGCACTACGAAATCAATACAGTTCCCTTGCCGCGTTCAAGTGTTCAAAACCGACTTTTGAAGCTGGAGCTGGAGCTCCAGGAGAACAAACACACGTACGTGCAGGCAAGATCAACGGGGAGAAGCCAGGTGTGATAATGCTTAATACTGTTCAACTCGTTACCCGTAGGCTTTTCGATTATCAGATGGCGCGGTATAAGGAAGAGATGCATGCGATATTAAATGGTAAGAGTCGGCGGTAGTCATCGAGCACACCCAGGAGTCGATCCAGGTTACTCCGTTCCATCGATTCCATAATATCTCACCAAGCTGTGCATATTCATGATAGGTATCCATCCCGACTTTCAAGAGCAACTGCAAGATCTCGCTGTGGCAAGGGATTCAACCATTGAGGGGGCGAAATTGTACCGAGATTATCAACTAAGCAGTGTAGATCAGCGCTTTGCTGTGGAAACAGAGGCGACGGAGGCGGAGTACAAGGTTGGCAGGAAGCTCCCTGATTCTTTTCTTTTTTGTCAACATGAGTGTTGAAAAGGACTGACTCTGTTACTCTGTTCCGCATCTCTACCTCCTCCACCAAAGGCTGAACGCGAGGGCTTACGGGACAAGATGCTAGCGATCATCGAGGCGAAACGACGAGCACTCAAGGAGGACAACGATCACCTGGATACCGTCAATGGTACAACTTTACTTGTGATCGTTTTGAACGGTCAATGAAGTCAAACTAATTCATTATTATGTTGTCATAGAAACGTTGGACACCGGAAAACCCGCGCAACAGAGAAGACTCCGCAAGAGGGGCCTGGATACAGAAGTCGGCAACAAGAACAAACGCAGCAAGACGTGGCCACAGGTTGCAAGATGGTCAGCGCACGAGGCTGAGGCACTGAACGATCTTTCCAGCATCAGCAAGGTAAGGGCGTCTTCGAGACCATGCAGATTTTCCTCCGCATGACTTTTTTTGATCGTTCTGCCCTAACACACATGTTTGTTGTAACGAATAGGCCACGCCGTCTTCAATGGCCAAGAAATCGGGAGCTCTTCGGAGGAAGTAGGCGAATAGTACAATTCGCACAAATCGCACACATCGCACTAATCATACAAATCGCACCAAAACTTTACCGAGGACGAGGAAAGGATTGCAGTAACGAATAAATTATCACATACATCCTTAAGTATGTTTCTTTCCATTCCCTTTTGGTTTTTATTTCCTTGCTCCCAAAGGTTGTTATTATCTTTGTAGGTTTTTTTTCGTGTCGCATACTCCGAGATAGGGTGCGTCTAGTATCCTGCTACTTTGCTCAGTGGTTCTTCCAAGTGCCGCGTCAATGCCTCCGATTTAGCCTTCAAAATTCCCAGTTCGACGTCGTCCCGTGCTACTAGACACAAGATCATGGTGCTGACAACTGTGATGGCCACCTTTCCTTCCTATTAATGCCGTGTGGAAACATGCATAGGAGAGGCGTAAGTACTACGGACATCCATAAGTATCGACATCAAAGACAAATCGTTGTACGGGGTTTCCGACAAGAACGGCCCTTTTTGGAATAAAATAATCCTCGTCCGTTGAGTTGGTTGGCCCTCTTACCTCACATTCCAGCATGAGAAAGGACAAGCCGCCAACGTCAGCCTTGCAGTGTTTTGAGTAGATGGTCCAGATGTTGGAAGCAATGGCTCCGTAAATACGGGCATCTCTATCCGATTGTGCTGCAAATGCCAGCAATGACCCTTCAGGATTCAACAGTCTAAATGACGTCCGTCAGTAAAAACGCCTTGCCCATTAGAAATGACCATTTCGCTTGACAAAAAAGTACATGACTTTTTTTTCTTCGTGAATTACATCGACTGATAAGTTGCTTTACATTGTTGCCTTGACGCCTCCTGTTGTTGCTTGCTGCAGTACCTGAGAGATTAGTTTGGGCTTGAGCATGCTTATGAATATGTGAAACTGAAGTTGGGAATGAAATGAGAGTTATGTGGCGACTGAATTGATGCAAAGGAAAAAATAAAGAGGCTCAACCCCTTAAGCGATTATGCAAAGACGCTAGTTAAAGCCTAAAGGCAAAGCACGGTTTTCTTTATTCCAAAGCTAAAAGTCGAGCGACTTTGACGATTCACCTACAAGAAAACAAGATTATTATACAAGTAGTCAGTGACCCATTCTTGTCATACTTCTCAGGGGAAAAAGTGTAAAGAAAAAACATACTCTTCTTTTTCTCCGCAACATCTCTGAGGATGCCTTTGACAAACCGCTCAAACACTTCGACGTGTCCACGAAGGGAGGTCTTTTGCCATGCTATTGTTGCCAACAGATAAAACTGAATGGGTTAGTTGTTTGAATTCGCATAGGTCCATAGGTCTTGTAGAAAGTCTTGTGGTGCCTGACCTTGCAGCTTGGGTTCATTTTCTGATGGAGGGTGTTTTGCATCATACTCGTCCAGTTCTTTGGCGAGCATTGGGATTGTGGGTGGTGATTTTGGATCAAACTCTTCGCAGGTCTCGATAGAGATTGGTACACAGACGCGACCTAACCAGCATAGTACCGATAAATGAGCTTTATAAGTATCGAGTTTCCTTCGAGTTGCCAATGTTGCTTTCTTGATCAAAAGTCGTACCAGTTTTGGGGTGAACGCAGAACGGGCTCTTGAGCAAATGGTTAATATTTGTCGAGACTTTTTCGTCCAGTCGAGGGTATGTGTATTGGAACATGATGTCCCTTGGAACATGCTCCAAGGTCTGTCTCTTCTTTGGAGCCTAATAAAAAGCGTCAGGTATATTAGAATCCGCAGTACTGCTTCGCTGAGTTACATTATGCGGGAAATATCGTTTTTGTATGCGTACCGCTGCAATTGCGCTACCGATAGCGTCCTTGAGATCCTCCCATTTCTTTGAAGGATCCCGATTAGGTGACTTTTCCCATTCCGATCTCAGCGAAGCTTGAACACCGTCGTCTGGGATAATCGCGAGCACCTTCTCCCAGTGTTTTGGCTCCGTCAAGACGTCCTGTGAGTCGAACACGATACTGGGAAAGTGCTGTCCAATGATTTCGTATGAGCGACTAGGAATTTAGAGAGCACACTGCAGAGATTAGTTGACACTGTGATAGGATGGAGGTGGCGACCGGATAGCTTACCTCAATGAAGGATGAAGGGTATTTGGCAGCTTGACTTTGCGTCCTTGTTGCGTTCCGCCCTACATCGATCCAAGGAGATCTATTTGTTAAGATTTGCTCCTCGGCTTGCTCGTAGCTACTTGCTTCCTTCTTAATTCCGTGGTCTCACCTTGATGACTTCAAGGTATGAAACGATTGCTTTTCTCTGTTCATTGTTCAACTTTCTGGCCCGCTCATCACCAATCCAGCAATGGATACCACGACGTCCAGAGTATACCCACAGCAAGTGCTTGAATCCAAAGTCGTCTAAGGGATACTTGGCGGAGTCGTTTGTCAACAAAGCAAGTTTTGGTGGCAACAGCAAAAGCGTGCAACTTTTTCAATGTACCTTTAAGCGCGCCGTCAATGATCTTCATGGCAACAGCCATAAACTCCCAACACTTTGTGCAGACATCTCCTCCTGAGCAACAGGTTCTGATTTCATCGTAATCGGTCATATCGATATCAAAGACAAGTTCCTTGGAGACTGGAATGAATGCTGCTGGGCGGACCATACTTTTGTCCTTGGGACGGATGTTGTAGATGGCGCCAAGATCAATCTTTGCTGGACAGAGACGTGTAAGTTCCTGCCTGAACTCGTCCATGGTTTTGTATGATTGGAATCGAATGTAGGTCTCGTCGGGAAGCGTAAAGCAGAACTCTCTGTTCATAAATGTTCTCGACGGCGTGGGAGCTAAAAAATATTAATAGCATTCACCACACAGTTAGATACAGTCGCAAGGATGTCACGAGTATATTGGCTCAAGGATCGAGTGTTCTTACAAATATCGTAGTTGAGCCATTGAAAGTACGGCTTCATAGGGAAGAAATGTTGATAAAAGAGTTTGAGCAAGAGGGGGCTGTCTGTTGCCAGATCCGAGGCACTATAGTGCGTAGGGGGTTCAACGAGAGCAACTGGTCAGGGTTCCTGTTCCTGTCTAGGCGGTACTTTTCACATTATCCAAGTCGGTTCTATATTCACCTGGCACTCAACGAGTCGACAGTGGTTCTGGTCCATGGGTTGTCACCCCTGAACACTTCCGAGTCGTCCATGTCAAACAGATGGTCCAACTCATCGTCGGATGCTAAAAAAGAGAAAGACGTGACGAGTGGAATGTCAGTGTATTGTTCCTTCAAGAGTGTAGATGGTTCTCAGTGTTTCTATTCTGCATCCGTACTCTTGCTGTTGCTGTCAATGTCCATTGTCAAATTTCGTGAGTTAGGTGGCAAAGAAACGCGGAGATGTTGGTTGTTCCAAGTAAACGGTCAACAAAAAAAACAAAACAGAAAAATTGACGCGCGCTCTAAGTTTCACGTGATTTAATTTAATTCTGTCGAGTGTGACTGCTACTATAGCGCGGTATTGACAAAGTAGAAAATGAGAAAGCAAATTCTAAAAACAGCATCCAATCAGAAGCTGCAATTGACGTCAACATGGCCGAGCGGTTAAGGCGTATGACTCGAAATCATATGGGAACTCCCGCGCAGGTTCAAATCCTGCTGTTGACGACATCTTTTTGCACCATGTAGTCTCACACAACACTTTTTTCGTTCGAAACCTTATTTCTAAATCGGGAAGGCGTTGGAGGATGGACAGTTTTCCGGGAATTCGATTGAAGTGCACGAATGAGGTCGTTTTGCGTTGTGCTGGTGTTTGTGTTTGATGTGTTCTTTGGATTCCGCAATCCGAAATAGGCCCTTTTGAGAATGGCGCAACCATACAGACACACGCCATTTCACTCATCTCACTCACCTCATACATGCCTGTTGTGGCCAAGGGGAGCCCACGTTTGTTACACTTTTGCCTCCCGAAGTTGTTCCTTTTTCTTTTCACACTCCACTTCTTTGTCGTCATTCTTTGGCGCGAGACATGAGGAGTACCTGACCTACCTGTAGAACAGTGAGATTTCTTTTTTACAAAACTGATCGGCAATCGTACAAACATCTCCAGGGAATTGTGTCAGAATAACAGAAGTGTGTCAAGGGGACCCGTTGGTCGTTGTCATTTCATTACTTTCGTTAGTGAGTGGTTGGACATTCTAGAAGGGTGGCGAGTGAATTGCTCACAAATGGAAACGGGTTGTGTGCCCACTCCTTCCTATTCCAGGGATGTTTATCGAAATAGCAATGTGAGGGACACATGGACAGATTGCTAAATGGCACGGTTTCTCTCTTATTGTTCAGCTCCTGCGGATGCCTTTCAAAGTTCTCCCTGCCATGGGTGGATGGCACTCGATGTGTATGTTATACACATGGTAGTCTGAATGGGGAGGGGGAGGGGAGGGGGTGGAGGAGGAGACCATAAGAAATGGAGTACAGGCTTGAGTACGAAAAAAGAAAAAGAAAAAAGGGAAATTAAAATGGCTGGCTGCTCTCACTGTCAAAAAAGGACAAAAGATGGGGGGTTGGACAATGAGGCAGGAAAGGGACTCGATCTGACAAAAAAATTTCCTCTCTCGCCCTTTCTCACTCGCTCACTCTCTTTACCGAGGGTTGATTTTTTTTCTTTCCATCTCCCCTCCCTCCCTCTCGTGCCCCCTCTCTTTCCAACTTGACTTTCAACTTCCCTTCAAATAGGCTTACTTTCGCCGTTCTTTCGCCGTTCTTTTCCTCTCTCTCTTCTCTTCTCTTTCTTTCCCAACTCTCCCACCCACCTCACTCCCACCCCACTCTGAACACAATCGATCACTGCTTGCCTGTCTACATTCATTCATCCGCCTTCATTCTTAATCCTCATTCAACTTCGACTCTTCCTCATCTCTCTCACTTTCTTACTCTCTAATTGTGTGCGCTTACCAAACATCCACTATCTTGCTTGTTCTCTTTGAAACACTGTCCACCTGCCTTTTTTTCCTCGTTTTATTCTCAACGGACACAAGAACGACCATCATGGCGAACCAAGGCATCATGGTTCCTCCAAACAACGCTCCTTGGCCAGGACAGAAGCCACCCTCACCGTCTTCACAGCCTCAACAACAAACTCCTATACACCATCCTCACCCCTATCCTTCCTCATCGCCCTATCCGCCACCACAATACTACCAACATCATGGCCACCCTCCACCTCATCCGCAAGCAACATCTCCAACTCAACAACATCCACAGCCTTATTATCCATACCCATACGCTTACCCTCCTCATGCATATCCTCCTCCACCTCATCCTCATGGTCATCCTCCTCCTTCTCCTCACCCTGGTTATCCAGGCCATCCAGGCTACCAGGTGCCATACTACACTGGTCCACCTCCTGGTCCCATAGATAACAAAGACTCGGCCTCTGAAACGTTATCGGTCTCCTCCATCTCAACCAAGGACTCCAAGACCGACACCACCTCCAAGCCAACCAAGGCAAAGGCTTCCACCTCTACAGCCAAAGCCAAGGCCAAAGCAAAGACTGAAAAAACTGTCGAGTCAACACCTGATCCCAAAGCCAAAGCCTCAACCAAACCTGCGCCAAAGACCTTCCGGTTCGAGGGAAGCATCTCCTCCGAGTCCTTCAAGACAACAAAGTCCTTTGACTTGGCTGGCGTCAACATTCTGAACCGCAAGCCTCTCGACACTCGCACCGCACTCGATAAACTTCAGCGCAGACGCGAGACACACAACCGTGTAGAACGCAAGCGCCGCGACTGTATCAACCAGGCAAGTGTCGATATAACCAAATTTCATTTATTCACTTCCTTTGACGTTCGTGTGTCTAATCGTTTTAATATTCTTGGTGACAAATAATCAATTAGTTGATCGATGATCTCACAAAGTTGCTGCCACCGAAACACCTTGAGGAGACCAGTTCCAAATGCCATCGCGTCAATGTGCTCCGTGGGGCAGTGAGCCACATCAAGTTCTTGAACGAATCGAACCAAGCTCTCACGAAATCCATCCAAGCCGTCCACAGCGATGCACCCTTGATCATGCCAAAGACGGAGCCCTCATCTTCATCAAACCTTGGTGATATGTCCATGGATGTGGACGATGACATGAAGAGCGTATCGGACGAAGATAACGATGACGAAACACAACAAGGGCGATCCATCTCAGAAACCCCGGGTTCAGCGTCTTCCGTCATGTCATCCTCCAGGAGCACACCCATGGCCTCACCAAGGCTCACACCTGCCAAAGTCATGGCCCCACCACCCGTCATCATCACTGGCGCTCCTAGTCCTTCGTCGGAACGCGAGCCTCTGACCGTCCAGGTGGATCCCTACAGCCTCGAGTCTCACCGTCAGCGATCCAACTCGTTTGCATCATCCATTGGAGACGAAGCCAGCCCACGGTCACCGTTCCCTACCTCTCCCATGTTCCCTCCTTCACCTGTGTCGCCCTCGATGACAGGACGTAACTTCCTCGCCCCTGAGAACCAAGGCGAAGGCACTTTCAAGGATACACAACTCTTGCCTATATTTCATCAGTCACCTAGATCCTCGCCCTCGCTGCCACCAATTTCGTCGCTTGCCAATATGCATCTGCAGACACCTTCAGGAAAACTGAATGAGAGCCAAACCGAAAGGGAGACATCTTCATCAGGACCCAACGATACGGTGTCTTCGTTCTCTGGACGTCCTCATCGTGCTGGAGCAACTCTTCCGCCGTTGATGATCCCTGAGCCACATCACCTGCATCCTTATCACCAGAGTAACTCTAGCTCCTCAAACGGCAAGGGAAGCAACAGGAACAGTCTGACACTCTCGCCCCATCCACCAACATCTCCTCGCCAAAACTCGGACCAGCCACCTATTTCTCCTTTTATGCTCTCACCAATGCTGTCACGCTCACCATCGATGGGTCCTGTCACCTCGCCTGCACTGTCGCCACACTCTCAGTGGGGCCACGATGGATTGCCTTCTCCCCTAGGCTTTGGCCAGAACTCGCCATACTCGTCGCCTTATTACTATCCTCATCCAGATGCAGATCCACATCACTCTTATAGCTATCCCCATGCTCAACATGCCCCTCAGCCTCAGGCCCAGACTCAACCTGAACAGCCTACTCAATCCATCAGCCATACTCGCCACAAGTCGTTGCAGCCCGAGCCCATTTTCATTCAAGAGGAGCCATGGAACACTCAGAGAAAGCGAAGCACGTCCAGCGCATCAGGAATCAAGGCCCTTTCTTCTAAAAGCAAGAAGAAGAGCGAGCCTGAAGAAAGACCCACATCGCCTTCGTCGATCATCTCCATCACATCCTACCCAATGAGTCCTAACCCCAAGAAGCGGTCACAGAATGCTAGCGAGGTCGACTTGGAGCACATATCGTCTTCACAGGCCACGACTTCTCAGGCCAGCACAACCAACTCGGTCAAGCGATCCAAGCAAGTGGATGCCTCGGACGAGACGGGCGAGGTTTCGGCAGTTGTTGAAGAGGCCAAGGAGGAGGAGCGATCCTCAATAGCGACAAACGATGACGAAGATGCTGCACAAGCGCTGACTTCCCTTGCTCGAACGACTTGATACGCAAACAAACCACACCCTCCTCTTCCTGTAGCAACACTTTTTTCCCACTGTACTATACTTGTTTTGCATATTGCTTTTATTCTCTCAATACACCATATTTAAAAAAGGACATCGTCTACTGTCGTTCTTGGTCAGCAATGTATTCGCGAATACCCTGGGTCACAAGCTCATGGTCATGATCTTGTCTGAGGCCACTGACGACGATCACACCCACACAGCCAACACCGCGGATCAACAGTGGGAATGCACCACCGTGGCAAGCATAGTCGGCCACGGGGATCATATAGTTCTTCTCCACCGTGGTCTCGCCCTTGGACGCAAGCAAGCGGCCAATGTAGTAGGACGAATGCTGGAGCCGGTTCACGATGTTGGTCTTGCGCCGGATCCAGTTCTCGTTGTCGACCGTGGTTCCTATACACGCAAGAAAAAAAACAGAAAAAAACCCCCCATTGTGAGAAAATGCTCCTTGCACCCCCTCTTCCTCTCTTGACCCTCCTCTTATTGACTTTGGTCGGTCATTCTCTCCTTCGTTTCCTTCTTGAACGTACCGGCCATGGCGTGGTGGAAGAGCAGCTGATCGTTGCGAGAGATTGCGACAGTGATGCCCTTGAAGGGCTGGCGCTGCTTGGCCAGAGCGATCAGTTTGCAGCCAAGAGCCAAGGCGTCGTCGTTGGAGAAGCGTGTGAACTGGAGATGCTCCTCCTCGGCCAGCAGATCGGGCAACAACTTGGCAGCAGCTTCTTGATCGTGGAGTGAAAGGGACATATTTTTTTTTCTTTTGGTGGGGTTGGGTGGAGATTAGCGTGTTTTTTTTTTTGGTTGTTATTGTTGGCGGGAGATAAGCAGAGGGCGATCGTGAAAATGAAATAGAGAGAGAGAGAGAGAGAGAAAGAACGAGAGAAAAACCCAGACCTTCTGCTTATTCATGATCACAGTTACGTACGAACATTGCCCTATCTCTAAATACGTACGCGATAGCATGGTCGGCCAAAAATAAATAAATCCGAAGATGTAGTATGCTTTATTTGAATGATTATGGTAGTAAGATACAGGGGTAGA